TTGTCACTTGCACTTGTCATTTAGCATCTGAACACACTTGTAAACAACGTGATGCCGGGAAGCGAAGACCCGGCGGAAACAGCTGGTCTGGTTCACTAAAATGTCCGTGTACAGTATATCTGGTACTAATGTATAGCGGATCTTTGTTAAGATCCATATGTCAGTAGAGATGGGATGGCAGAAGGTGCTATATATATATATATATAATTCCAAAGCTGGTAAAGACCTTTCAAATTTAGCAATAATAGTCATATAAGAAAAGTACTGATTTGTTCTTGAATCAACTTTTTTATGGAAAATGTTTTATGTAATTTTATTTCATTTTAAATAAAATGAAAGACATTCACAGTTAATGTAATTAGATATACATTATGAATGCCATACATTTTTAAATGTAATTAGATATACATTATTAATGCCATACATTTTTGCATAAATATTTATTCAGTATGATAGCTGTCTAACAGAAGTTAAATCCATTTCTCACTTATTCTGACAATGTACTTAACCCCAAATAAAAGAACCCAATAAAAATAGTTGTTAAATAATAGTGAAGTCACGTTGTAATAACAATAACTCATCTCTCTCGGTTTTTTTTTTGTTTTCTTTGTGTGCTTTGCCAAAAGCCACTGTGTCAAGTGTCCTAGTTGGGTTACCGTAACGAACAGCAGCCGGCTCTCGATTTTTAATCCTAATTTAATCGTTTATGTTCGCCGAATTGACATGAAATCACTGACAAATATGAATATACTGTATTCAACTTCATTAAAATGTTATTAACGTGCCTAAACTCAGTAATTCACTAAAAATTACTGATCCCTCCGCGTCGCGGAGGGATCTTGATCCCTGGGTGTTATTTTTCCCCATAATGACCAAGTCGCTGCAAATTATCCCGCTTATTACATGGCCACATTCTCAACAAAGTAACGACATGACTCCCAATATTAATTAAAATGCTTTTATGGATTTAGAAAATATTTTTATTGATTTAAAACATAGTTCTATGTATTGATTTAAATTTACATGCATCCGCTAAGAAAAATAGTCCGTTGTTACCGTTTTTTAAACAGTCAGAATGAAACGGCAGCTCTCAGCTGTGTGTTCACACTCCTAACTCTGATCTTTCTTTTCCAACAGTTAAGTTAACTGTAGGTTACTCTGAGTGACAAGCTTACAGTTAGTGAAGTAACACTTTTTTTTTGTGAGTCACGACCTCGCTGTTTCATTCTAACATAACGCTCCAAATATGACTGTTTCCACTCGGACTTCAATACAGCAACACCATTGTTTGGTTTCCATGGTAGCGTGTCTCTTTAGTAGCGTGCACTCCTTTCCTGTAAATTACAGGTCCAGCCAGGCAAAACAGTAATATGAAATATGAACGTTAGTTTTTAACTGAAATGATCAAATAAAGTCAAAATGTCACAGTGTTTACAAACATTGACCATACCGTTCACCAGCCCCCACCCCACTCTTTGTTTTAAAACGAATTGGCCATCGGAATGTGTGTGTCCCAACCCCCCCCTGTGATATCTCTTCACAGGGGGGAGAGAGTTAGACGCTCGTGAATTGTCAACGGGGGGGGGGCCTCTCTGCACGGAGGAGCCGCGGAGAAGTGAATCACAGTGATCTGCTATTTTAAAGTAAATTCAACACATATCGACCCTAAATATAGCATATATTAAGAACGAGAAAGTGTTAACATCGTTTTTTGTAAACATATGACCAATGTGCGAGGGTGATGACATCAGAGCATCGTCCTATGGGCTTAGCCCCGGACAGGTACAACAGGTATTCACTCAGAGGGGGGTAGTTACCCATTTACATGTCAAAAAGCAACATACAGTAGGCGGGTGGGGGATGGTGAACGTTTACATTTCTCTACAGCAGTGGTTCCCAAACTTTTTGTGCCCAAGGCACACCAAAGGACAAGTAAAAATCTCAAGGCACACCTATTGTGCGAAATAGCCCTTATAACACGTGTTATCACTCATATCATGTAAAATATCTGTAAATGTGCATAATTATTTACTAATGCCAAATAAAATGTATAGATAGAACAATCAGTGGTTCAAGTTAGTATATTCCCTCAGTGTAACATATCCACTAGTTGCAAAGCTTAAACATTTTTATATATTTTTTTATTTTAAGGGAAAGGATGTTTTCACTACTCAGTTTGTCAACTATGTTACGGACAAACTTGATGTCATTACAATCATTTGATTAAGTCCTGCACTTCAAGTAAAATCAAATTTGAAAGGCTCTTGAGTCTATTCTACCATATATCCAAAGATTTTTTAAAGTTTAAAAAATAATTGTATTAAAGTTTTGTTTTTTCATGTGATATGTTCAGCACTGTCATTAAGTTTAGGGATATTTTGTATTATAAAACTACCATACAGGTCATTTTGATAGTTTTAAGAGATGTCATGTAAAACTCCAACCTGTGTAGATATACATTATACTATAAAGGATATCAGAAGCACTATTTTAGATATTTTAAATTTGAAAAAATGAGGTGCAACATAGTTGACAATGAAAGTCAAACATTTGACGCAAATAACATAGTAACAAAATATTGTAAAAATGTAGAGGACAATCACCACAGTGTGTTCAAAATGTCTGCCAAAGAGGAACATGGCATCATGTGATGCTGGTGACATGGTATTGGGACAAACAATTTTTGAGTTAAAGGGGGAAGTTCTGTTAGTAACATAGTTGACAGAACTTTGCGGACATTCATATATTAAGATATTTTAAATTATTTAAAGGGGGAAATCAATTAAAAATATGTTATTATTCTTTAGTATTTAGACTTTTGAAATAAATGAATCATTTTTTAAATTTACTTTAATGGTTTTTATTCATTATTTTGAATCCAAGACACCCTCAACTGAAAAACGGACATAGCAAAAACTGACAATTTAAGAACATCATGACACATTTCAAGCTAAATAAAGCATAGGATGCACATAATGTTTGTGTGATATTATAACATGCTTTCCAATAATAGGCAAAATATGATATTTTTGAAGAAAATAGTTAGAATAATTATAATTATCATCAATGGACATCAATGGACATGGAATGTACCCTAAATTGTAGAATCACTCAGCAGTTACATACACCAAACCTTCCAGTTATATTCCTATCAATATTATGAAGGCTTTTACGGAAGGGTTTGGTCATATATAATTCATAGCCTGAATTATATAACATTTTATACCTAAAAACATGGTGAAAATTGATATTTTAGGGCTGTTGACAGTATTTTCTGATTTATGGAGTGATACAAAGAGATATCCAAAATCCCTTCTGTAAAAGCCTTAGATACTAATATGACTACAAAATGAAACAATAATTTTGATCCTGGCTTTATCCAAAGTTCAGATTTCGGTTCCTGAAATGTGTTTAAAATATGCGCATATTTCATGAGATAATGGTTCATTTGGATATTTAAACATGCTATTTCAGAAAACTTGTAATACAAAAAACAATTGCCTTATTGTAAGTAATTAACTGGAGAAATATTTAGCTGATATCTTTAAGTTAAAAATACCCTATTCACCTGGGGTGTCTCGCCTTAATTAGATGTTTGATAAGTGCAGATCACATAGTAAAACACGTACACAGATACATTATTTTGTATTTTTATTAAATTCGACAATGTCAATTTCACTTTCCACTATGTCCACCGTTGTTTTTCACAACCAATGGCAGAACTTTATTGAGGCCTGTAATTAGTCAACTACAGGTCTCTTGAGTCAGTCTTTTTCTTCCAAAAAGCTTGTGACAAGATGTTATTGCTCTTGGGGCATTAAAAACAAGATTTTAACTTTAGTTTTTATATAATATCTGCATTTTCTATTGTGAAAAACTAAGTCTTAGTTATTTAATATATAGCGCCATCTCCTGGTTAAACCCTGAAATTGGAGAATAGTGGGAGGGCCTAACATTCCTGAATACTGGTCTTTGGCAGGCAACTGGCTGGCAACTGGCTGGCAGTCGGCAGGAAGCTGTATGCTGGGGTCCAAAATAAGAGGCTCCATCTGTATGTCCTGCCTTTATCTCTTTTCAACAATCAAAAATAAAAATATAAATAATCTTTTTGTTGTTGTTTTTTTCTTCCCAACCACTGGTCCTCAACCTATTATATGTTGTCAATGTTTTAAAGAAGAATACATTGAGTTTCAATTTGTTTTATGTTGCTCAAAGCATTTAAAGAATTCTGATTCTGATTCTGAAAAGCTTGCTGACAGGATTATCTATTGATTATGCTGCTCGCAGGGTTCAATACAAAGAAAAGTATGTTTACTATTATTTCAGTGAAGTATAGCAGTGCAGGTGGAAACACAGTAAGGTCAAGCATGGATTTCCAATAGAAAACAGTTGTAGGAGCCTTAAAGGGGGTTAGGTTTTCTGTGGGTTTTCTCATAGGCTGACCCGTAAATTCCAATATGAGTTTTGTGCTTGCTTTGCTCAAGTTTGAAATGCCAATGTCAATCGGTATTTTACATTGTATTTCAATAACATATTACAAAACATTTTAACTATGTTTTTTGTTAAACAATCACCAGAATGCTACACTTTGGTAAGTAAGCAAGCCCAGTGAGAAAGAGCTTTGAGCTGAACTGGTAGTACGTTTGTTGATTATTGTATAGTGCTTTTTCAGTGTTGTTCCTTATCTGACGTAATGATTAATAATTCCCCCTACGATGAAATCGTGTCTATAAAATGTTGCTACAGATGAGATATTGATAGGTGCAGTGTGTCAACAGTGCGTTGGGAAGCGATGAAGAAAGATTAAAAGAAAGGCGGACTCAAATGTTGGATTACTAATCTACAAGCAACTCTTTCTGAACTTTTTCCATTACTCATCATTTTCTGATACATTTATATCCCAAGTAAATAATATTTTGTTCCTGCAGCTTTAGTTACGAACCATCAAGGTAAATTAAATCTTACCTGTGACTTAAACAAGATGTTGTTCTTTCAGGTTGATGGAAAACTACACCTACAACAGCCTTACACTCCAGCTGGAGGGTCTAAATGTTTCTAAAGAGTATTTGTACCCTGTCTTTCTGTTTCTCTTTTTCTCTTACCTGTTTATAATTGTCACAAATGTGAGCATTGCAGTTCTGATTTTCATTGACAAAAACCTTCACCAGCCCATGTATCTACTTTTTTGCAACCTGCCATTTAATGATATTCTTGGAAACTCTATCTTGGTGCCCCGTTTGCTTATGGACATGTTGAAGCCTCCCTCTGAACGCCTTATTGGTTATCATGAATGTGTGCTCCAAGCTTTTACCTCACATATGTTTGGTACCACCTCTCACACAGTGCTCATGATTATGGCTATTGATAGATATGTGGCTATCTGTTATCCTCTGCGCTATGCTGCTATAATGACAAATAAGATGGTGATTAAGCTGACATTTTCTGCCTGGGGAGTAGCCTTGCTTTTGGTCGGGATTCTTCTCGGTCTGACCATGCGGCTGAACCGATGTAGGACTATGATTGAAAGCCCTTACTGTGACAATGCCGGTCTGTTTAAACTATCCTGTGATAATGTGTTTATTAATAATGTCTATGGCCTCACCTTTACTGTAGTCCTGTTCACAGCTTCAATTGGCACTATGGTTATCACCTATACTAAGATAACAGTAGTCTGTCTCACCAGTAACAGCAAGTCTTTGAACAGTAAAGCTCTGAAGACCTGCAGCACTCATCTGGTTCTTTTTCTGATTATGATTTTTAGTGGAATGTCTATTATTACTCTGCATCGCTTCCCTCAGTACACAAACTACAGAAAATTCACCAGCATTTTGTTTCATATTGTCCCTGGCAGCCTTAACCCCATCATTTATGGTGTGCAGTCAAAAGAGATACGAATGTTTTTGGCCAACTCCTTTAAGTCGAAGAAAGTTTGGCCATTATGTTAGAGAACATGTTCTACCATGTTTGTCCATTGTCTATCATCACTTTTTATAGATAATAAATATGCAAAGTCCTTGTTAAATCTTTACGACAAACACCAGTAAATTCTAGAAAAAGGTTTTGACATGTACAGCATGAATTGTGGCAATTAAATGCAAACCCACCTATGTTCATCTTCTCTATTATATAGGCAATAGTACAATAAAAAAATATTTTTGTGTAATAATCCTAAAGATTTCACTATTAGTTGCAAGTTCATATACTATAAAAGAATGAGCAGATACACACGATGGATACACATACAGTACTTTGAGTGTACAAGTGTATAACCAAGACATTATACTTTGGTTTTCTGTGCTTTATAATGGAAACAGAACGTTTTTGCAAAGTAGTAATGAACAGTTCCATGTATTTTGTGTTCTGTTTTGTCGTGTTCAACACATCATATAATGTGCTACTGAGTTTCTTCCTTTTAAAGTACACAGTGCATGATCACTTTTAACTGTATGCTCAGTAATAAAGGTTGCAAAGTCCTTGCAAAATATGTGCAATAAATACCAAAAGAGTCATTTTATAGAAAAACTGTTTTAATACGATAAGCATGGCTATTAAATGCATGCCACCTTTGTTCTGCATTAGTACATCAAATATAGAATATATCCTACTTCTGCCTTAAGGGGCTTCACAATATATAGGGCACACGATACGCTCTGTCTTTAGGCCCTTGCAGCTGCTATGGAAAAACTGAGTTGAGATCCCTTTCCCAGGATATTGTGTCACAACACCACGATACAATTACAACACAGAATAGACATTAGAATAGAACAATTTGACTTAACAATACGTGTTGCAGAGGGCCTAAATTAGTTATTGGGGCAGCCTGATACTAAAGAGTAACAATATTCCACCAAAAAAGGAAAAAATATATTAAAAAAGGTTTTCCTGCCTATTTCTGAGACAAGATGTGCCTGGTTTTTGTGACATCACATATATTTTATTGGAGGCAGTCCCTAAAGTTTTTTTTAATGTTCCAGTTAAGAACATATCTTAACAAAGATTCCTTGGAGATAATTCTTGAAGCCAGGGTAATACCTGGCCAAACTTTATTGTTTGGAAGTTGTTTGTGGCGAAGTATAATCATTTCTGTGTAGAACATCTAAACATTGCAGGTGATTTAGGCTTCTATGTCATTGAGGCGCGCTTGATGTTTAGTTGACGTACTTTAATCTGACTTGATCGACAGACATAACTCGGTATCATCTAATCGACAATTAAAGGTTATGCAGTCTTTACTCATTATATTGCCTAAAGGAAGGTGAATAAAAAAGGTCCAAGGTCAGAGCCTTGCGTGACTATAGGATTCATTTTATTGTATTGACGATTCATCAATAACATGTACAGTACAAATGGAGATCTCTCAGATTAATAGATTAGATTAGTGAGATTCATTTAATGACAATTACATTTTCCAGTCTCTGCTATAAAGTGTGCTGGTGAAAGTTGTTGAATACAGCACTAATACCTTGTCTGATGCAATTAGAAGGTCATTTGTAACTCCCACTAGTGCTGTCTCTGAGCCGCTTTCTAAATCTTGACAGGAAATCTTCAAATAAACTATTGTTATGTAAAGAAAATCCCAAAACTGTTTTATTTTGAATATTATTTTTTTCGTAAAGTGCCTTTCTCTGTAATATCTAATATTTTTGTTTTAAAATTCAAGCCAAATACGATACCCGTCTCCCAAACCATTGCCATTACAGAGGGTGCCCATCCTCTGGTTTCTAACCAGCCCTTTATATCTTACAATGACCTCACAAATCTGTCTACTCTAAAGTTATAAATATCCTGTTTCAAGCAGACCTTACTTTATACTTTTTTAAATGATTTTTTATGGGAAACAAAGTGGTCTTCCCGGCTTCCAATAGCCATCCTGTTACAGGTTGTACTTTTATTTTTAAGAGTCTACTTTCAGTTCACACATTCCCGCGCAGTGCCGCAAAGGTTTGCTCTGGTCGGAGAACGCACTGCAGAATAGCGTGAAGCCTAAAAATGGTAAATGTGCAGACAGCCCACCACCTCAGCAACAAACTGTTCTGTCGGCTGACGTCTGGCAGGCGGTACCGCAGTATCCGGACTAAAACCACCAGACTCAGGAACAGCTTTATACCACAGGCCATAAGAATGCTAAACACCTGAGCTCTGTTAAGTGCCTCGATAAACATTCATCTGTTGTCATCTTGCAATTTATTTATTTTTCTAAATATTTTATTATATATGTTTCATTGTTGGAGGAGCTCGGGTCCTAAGATTTTCATTGCTATTTCTACACTGTAGCTTATGTGCATATGACATTCAAACCTTTGAATCTTGAACTGCTTGCACATCTGCATGACCACAGCGATCCACAGCAACTGAAGACTAAAACATTTACGAGCCTTTAAAGTTATGATTAAGGGAAAGGCCGCATTTAGTAGCATGTGGATGCACTAACATGTTGTGCCGCTAGCTGTCCACTCCGCTGCGTCACACCTCAACTCCACCAACTATCAACCTCATTGCTGATTTAAGGATAAGCTGGGCAATTATATCTTTCATGAAGCTGCAACTGGGAAAGCACCTTGGTAACTGTTATTATATGCAAAGCCAAACCAATTTAGCGCGTTTAAAGCTCAAAAGTCCTTTATATTAAGGTTAAGGCTTGCAGTCTTTCAGTTTCTGTTGACAGCCTCTGCCACATACGAATTATAGGAGAATTCCCTAAAGTTCAAATCTACATGTACAAAAGAGTGCAACAGCGAAAAACGTTTCAGTGTCGTTGGATTTTACTAGCAGGGTAGGAGATTCAAGAAAAAACGGAAGAACTTGAGACAAAAAGGTATGGATCTAACAACTGTTTAACACATTTCACAACTTCTGGGAATCATTTCTGACACCTTTCTTCTTTCAGCAGCTAAAGAAACAAGGAGAAAAAGAAAGCACATACCTAGACACATACTTCCTTAAATGTTCTTTAGTGCAACAAAATATAATAAACCAGAATATCTGTTAATTCAAGGGAAGTTTATGTTGCATTCACTTATACTATCTGTACCCTCTCTTAAAATATGATCCCTGATTGTTTTGTTTGCTCTTTCAGGTTGATGGACAACTACACATATAACAGCCTTGAACTCCAGCTGGAGGGTTTCAATGTCTCGGAAGAGTCTGTGTTCTCTGTCTATCTGTTTTTTCTTTTCTGCTATATTTTTATAATTGTTGCAAATGTGGGAATTGTTGTTCTGGTTTTTATTGACAAAAACCTTCACCAGCCCATGTATCTACTTTTTTGCAACCTGCCCTTTAATGATATTCTTGGAAACTCTATCTTGATGCCCCGTTTGCTTATGGACATGTTGAGGCCTCCCTCTGAACGTCTTATCAGTTATTATGAATGTGTGATCCAAGCGTTTACCTCACATATGTTTGGTACCGCTAGTATGACAGTGCTCATGATTATGGCTTTCGATAGATATGTAGCTATCTGTAATCCCCTGCGCTATGCTGCTATAATGACAAACAAGATGGTGATTAAGCTGACAGTTTCTGCCTGGGGAGTGGCCTTGGTTTTGGTCGGGATTCTTCTCGGTCTGACCATACGACTGAACCGATGCAGGACTATGATTGAAAGCCCTTACTGTGACAATGCCGGTCTGTTTAAATTATCCTGTGATAATGTGTTTATTAATAATGTCTATGGCCTCACTTTCACTGTAGTCCTGTTCACAGCTTCAATTGGGAGCACAATTATCACCTATACTAAGATAACTGTAGTCTGTCTCACCAGTAATAACAAGTCTTTGAACAGTAAAGCCTTGAAGACCTGCAGCACTCACCTGGTTGTGTATATGATCATGATTTTTAGTGGAATGTCTATTATTGCTCTGCATCGCTTCCCTCAGTACTCTGACCACAGAAAACTCTGTAGCATTTTATTTCATATTGTCCCCGGCAGCCTCAACCCCATCATTTATGGTGTGCAGTCAAAAGAGGTACGGAGATTCTTGACTAAGTGGTTACAGCCCAAGAAAATTATGCCATCCTTCTAAAGACAATTTCCAATGTTTATTTATAAACGTATTAACACAAAAAATATTTAACGTGAAAAGGCTGCCCTACTATAATTCATGATCTTTTGTTTGCAACTCATGACAGTCCCTCTTACAGCTTGATAAAAGAAAGGTATACATATATCATTTCAAGGCATTTATTTTATATATTGTCATAATGATATGCATCTTCATTTTTTATAATCCCAGATAATACATATTTGATGTGCAGTTAAATGTAGAGATGATCATAACCACTTGCCTAGTTCTGATGTGTGTTTTCTACAATTGTGCCATCACTATTAAGCTAGAAATCTGTTGATGATTAACAACCTTATTGTCTCTATACTATAGTACCATATTGATTTGTCAGTGAATATGAAGTAGAAGTAGCATTATAGCTTTGAACATAGCGCAGAGCAGTGTAGTTATAGTTTATCTGTTGGTGATTAGATGCTAAACCTCTTCAAGACTCACGCCAAGTCCCTGTTTCCTGCTTGCAATCTGTTGATTAAAGTGAAATTCAAAGTGGGGAAACCTTCGAAGTCACAAAAAACTCCTGCTCAGGGTCATTTAAGGTGGGCTAACATTCAAGTTGGACCACTTAAAAAATAAAATGTGAAAGTTGAGTTGCTTCTCTGAGTCTTGGTCGGTTGAGATTTATTTTCTATGTATTATCCCTTAACAGTTTTGATTATATTTAACTGTCCTTTTACAATGGGATTATTCTGCTCATTGCTTTATGTCTTGATGTTTCCAGGTTTTTTTCCATGTTAACCACAAATGGACTTGTAGCTGATATGTACTAATAAACTGGCCCTGTCTTTGTTTTATCACTTTTTTTACTTTTTATTTCAATATATATATGGGTTCACCTTTAGACTTTTTAAAAGCTGATTTAACAGTCCTTTTCATCATTT